GCGGCTCTCACGGCGGCGATCGGGGGGCTGGTGGTGACGGCTGATCACGGCGGCACGGGAGGATGCTGATAATGGTGGTGAGGCGGAAATGAGAGAAAGGGGAAGGTGAGGGTGGTGGTGGTGGTGAGCGTGAGGCGGACGGCTGGCGGTCCTCGGACGGCATTGCACGGCCAAGGCAGGGGCTGGCCTGTGGTGGTGGTGGTGGTGACAACGACGGGAAGAGAGAGAGAGAGACGGACAAGTGGTGATGGTGGTGGTGATAGGCTGGTCGCGTGGACGGCGGCGGCGCTCGGGCGGTGGCGGCGTGGCCACAGCGGTGGTGCTCCGGCGGGGCTGGCTTCACGCGGCCAAGGGAGGAGAATGGGAGAGAAAAATGGAGAGAATGAGAGGGAGAGAGTGGCCGGAAATGGGGAAGTGAGGGGAGAGAGAGAGAATGAGGGAGTTTTGATCAAAAGGCTTGAGTGGGGTGGTTGACCAACTCCACCCACAATGTCCAAGCTACCCTCCCCACTAACTAGCCAATTCAATGGCCACAATTTAAACACCGATCAAATCTTTCCACAACCAATGGCCATGATCTCATCTTACACAAAATATCTAAGGGCAATTTGGGGAATGAGCAAGGGTGATGGAGGCCTTATTGTCCAACATTTTCGGCATTAATAGGGCTGATTAAGTCCAATATACCCTCCAATAATTCAAAATTAATGCTTAGGGTCCAAGGGCAAAATTGTAATTTCCACTCCCGGTCCAAAATTCCAATTTTCGACCATACTGATCCCAAATATGATTGGCCACACTAATACGATGTCGTCCTTGCAAAATGGTCGCGTACGTCCGTGAAATTCGACACTCAAGTCCGGATTCAATTCAACGATCAATTTTCGCTCAAATGTGATTTTAGCATCTCTTACTAACAGGTAGCTTTTTAGGGGTTACGCGTATCGACTTATGATTACTCGAGTCGCGACGGTCTCGATTTCCAAAAGAACGCGAGGATTTATCGCTAGTTCCGGAGGTCGCGATTGTTCGGAGAAAGTTTAGGATCGTTCGCCACGCATACTCTCGATCGTGCGGAATCACCCGCGATCCGATCATACGTCGTTGGCAAACCAAATCTGTTGCCCTCCTTGGATTGGCCACATTGGCCCAAAATATTCCCTCGTCGTTCCTCAGAATCGGAGCTCGATTCACGGTCGAGTTCTTGGGTCCACGTACTGTTTTCCTTGTTAGCCATTCCCTATCCGTCAGTATCCCGAGAATGATCAGCTCCGGGCGAGACTTACTAAAACGAAATGAGCAATACATATCCATTTCATTGATCACGAAAGTGGGTCGAATTCAGGATGTTACAACTCTTCCCCCCTTACAAAAATTTCGTCCTTGAAATTTACAATCCAAACCCATTTACTCAAACAACTGAGGGTATTGACGTCGCATCGCTTCTTCACTTTCCTAGGTGGCACCTTCCGTTCCATGATGTTCCCAAATGACTCTGACCATCGGGATCGTCTTGTTCCATAGCACCCGATCCTTTCTATCCTCGATCGTCACTGGCCTTTCCACATACGACACCCTGTCGTCCACGTCTATCTCTTCATATCTCAGCACGTGCGTCGGGTCCGGCTTGTACTTCCTCAGCATTGACACGTGGAATACGTTATGCACTTGGGACAAGTTAGACGGCAAGGCGAGTCGATAGGCCAGATCTCCAATCTTTTCCAAAATTTCGAATGGACCGACATATCTCGGGCTCAATTTTCCTTTCTTACCAAATCGGGACAGTCCTTTCATTGGCGACACCTTAAGGAAAACATGATTTCCCACCTGAAACTCCAAAGGTCTCCGTCTCCGATCGGCATAACTTTTCTGGCGGCTCTATACCGTCTTTATCCTTTCCTGAATAATCTCGACTACCTCAACTGTCTGTTGCACCAATTCTACACCCGTTATACTCCGCTCCCCGACTTCATCCCAACACACTAGCGTTCTGCATGCTCTGTCATACAATGCCTCAAACGGTGCCATCTGAATACTCTGCCGATAACTGTTATTGTAGGCAAACTCGACCAAGTGTAACTGCTCTTCCCATTTACTTTGGAAGTCCAATACACATGCGCGCAACATGTCTTCCAAAGTCTAGATCGTCCTCTCCGACTGGCCATCTGTCTAGGGATGATAGGCCATACTAAACTGAAGTTTCATCCCTAAGGCCGTTTGCAGACTTTTCCAAAAATTTGCAGTAAACTTGGGATCACGGTCCGAAGTGATCGTCACTGGTACTCCATGAAGTCGGACAATCTGTCGTACATACAACTTTGCATACCTTTCCAACTCAAAATCCTTTCGCACTGCCAGGAAGTGCGCTGACTTAGTCAGTCTATCCACTATCACCCAAATCGAATCGTGTCCTCTCTGGCTCCTTGGTAATCTCGTGACAAAATCCATCGTGATATGTTCCTATTTCCATTCGGGAATTTCCAATGGTCGCAGAAGTCCTCCAGGCTTACAATGCTGCGCCTTTACCTACTGACAGGTCAGACATTTCGCCACATGCTTGGCCACATCCGTTTTCATCCCATTCCACCAGTAATGTTGCCGCAGGTTCTGATACATCTTGTATTGCCCGGATGAATGCTATAATTGCTACGATGAGCTTCCTTCATAATTTCCTCCTTAAGTTCCATATCGTCGGGCACGCATAATCGCCCACGGAACTTCAAGATCCCATCCTCGGATACTTGGAAATCCGATTTTCTCTTGGCGGCGTCCATTTCAACTATCTTCTGAATTTCTTGGTCCGTAGATTGCAATGCCTTAATCTTGATTTGAATTTCTGGTTCGATTCTTAATGCGGCGAGTATATTCGACACGCGGCTCACTTCAAACCTAAATTCTGAATCTCTTAACCTTTCCAATAGCGTCAATTCCTTGACCATCATGTGCGCCATACTCGACTTCCGAGTTAGCGCATCTGCTACTCGATTGGCCTTTCCAGGGTGATACAAAATGTCACAGTCGTAATCCTTGAGGAGTTCCATCCAACAACGCTACCTCATATTCAATTCCTTCTGCGAAAATAAATACTTGAGGCTCTGATGGTCCGTGTAAATCTGAAACTTTTCACCGCACAAGTAATGCCTCTAAATCTTAAGCGCGAAGATGATCGCAGCCAGTTCCAAATCATGGGTCGGATAATTCATTTCGTGCTGTCTTAGCTGACGTGACGTATAAGCAACTACCCTTCCATGTTGCATCAGTACACACCCAAGTCCTCTCAATGAAGCATCACTGTAGACCTCAAATCCTCCTGGTCCGGACGAAATAGTTAACACTGGAGCAGTCGTTAACCTATGCTTCCGCTCCTAAAAACTCCTTTCACACTTGTCGTCCCATTCGAACTTCGTTTCTTTCTTGAGTAATCGTGTCAACGGCGTGGCTATTGACGAGAATCCTTCTACGAAACGCCTGTAATAGCCTGCCAACCCTAAGAAACTCCGAATTTCCGTTACTGACGTCGGCCTTGGCCACTTAGTCACTGCCTCAATCTTAGTCGGGTCTACTGAAATTCCATCTCCGGAGATTATATGTCCAAGAAACGCTACTCTGTTAAGCCAGAACTCGCACTTACTGAACTTGGCGTTGAGTGCGTGTTCTCTTAGGGTTTGTAGTACTTCACTTAAATGTACCTCATGATCTTCCGGTCTCTTCGAGTACACCAATATGTCATCGATGAAGACTATAACAAACCGATCCAAGAACTCCTTAAATACCCGATTCATCAAATCCATAAAGGTAGCGGGGGCATTGGTCAAACCAAAAGGCATCACCGTGAACTCATAATGCCCATATCTCGTCCGAAAGGCCGTTTTAGGTATATCCTCTTTCCTAATTCTCAACTGATGATATCCCGTCCGTAGATCGATCTTAGAAAACACTGAGGCTTCTTGCAACTGATCGAACAGGTCATCGATCCTCGGCAGTGGGTACTTATTCTTGACGGTCGCCTGGTTCAACTGCCGATAATCAATACACAACCTCAATGTCCCATCCTTCTTCCTTACAAACAACACCGGCGCTCCCTATGGAGACGCACTTGGGTAGATAAAACCCTTGTCCAATAATTCTTGCATCTGGACCTTTAACTCCATTAGTTCTGACAGGGACATCCGGTAAAGCGCCTTCGAGATTGGTTCAGTTCCTGGGGCCAACTCGATTACAAATTCCACTTCTCTTTCTGGTGGCAAACTCGGCAATTCCTAAGGAAAGACTTCGGGAAAATTGCACACCACGGGTATATCCTCTAACCTTGGCTCCACAACCGTCGGGTCCACGACGTTTACCAAATACCCTTCACACCCCTCGTCCAACAACTTGGTTACTTCGAGGGAAGAAATCCAAGGAATCAAGGTTCCTCCTCGGCTTCCCATAAACTCGAATCTAGGGTGTCCAATCGGGTTGAATTGGATCACCCTGCTACTACAATCCATCACGGCTATTTGCTTAACTAGCCAATCCATCCCGATAATCACATCAAAATCGAACATAGTTAATACCGCCAAGTCTATCCTTTCCTCTCTACCCCCAATTACTATCTTACAATTAGGACACCCTAACGAGACTAACACCTTATCATTCAGCGGGGTCATCACACAAAGCATTACTTCAAGCAATATCGGTTAAATTCCAATCAATCTAACAAATTGCTCTGATATAAACGAATATGTCGCTCCCGGATCAAACAAGGCATACGCAGCATGATCACAGAGAGAGACCGTACCTGTGACCACGCCTAGCGTGTCCTCAGCCTCCCTTCGCACCATCGCATACACCCTTCCTTGGGCTGGCGATCTACCCTGAATAGCCGGCGAGGGATTTCCAGCTTGATTTCCCATTCGAGGCGGCTGAGCTTGCATGGGCGGTCCTGCTGGACGTAGTTGAGGGCAATGTCTTATCTGATGGTCCATGCTCCCACACTTGAAACATGCCCCAAACCGGTTCTAAGAATTGTTCGGCTTCCCGATGTTTTTCTTTACGGGAGGGACAAAACGCCTGTTTCCTGCCATCGGCCTCTTCTCGAAGCGGCGGTTGTCCTTAGCCGAGGCAAACCGTGATCCAGAAGCGGCAGCCCTATCCACTTGATCCCGTTCTATTGCCTGCGCTCGCTCATACATTTCTCCATAATCCCGGATATTCAGCGAGATCATCTGGCTTCGAAGGTCCAGCTTCAGCCCATCCCGGAACCTTCGAACCTTATCTTGTGGGTCCTCCACCATTCTTGGTGCGAACTTCGATAGCCTTGCGAATTCCGCCTTATATTGATCCACTGTCATCGATCCTTGGCGAAGCCTCATGAACTCCGCTAATTTCCTTTTCCTGGTACTCTCGGAGAAATACTTCCCATAGAAGTTCTCAGTGAACACAACCCAAGTCTGGGCGGTACCTTTAGGGAACACTCTCCCCCTGGTGGCCTTCCACCAATCACTAGCATTCTCCTGCAACTGATACACCGCCAAAGTCACATTCTCAGCTTCGGTGCACCCCAGAACTTCAAAGGCCTTCTCCAGTTCTTCTACCCAACGTAGCGCGGCCTCGGGGTCACCCTTTTCGTCGAACTTCGGTGGCTTTAACTTCAAGAACTGCTCCACTAGTCGTTGCATCTGTCTATTCATAGCCGCTTGAGCCTGCCCTTGGTTGGCTTGATTCCCATTAACAGCAGCAGTTGCTGCGGCCTCAGCAGCTTGGGCAATATTGGCAGCCCTCTCTTGAGCCTGCCTTCCCATCAAATTTCCTATCTCCTGCAGTGTCTGAATGATTGCATCAAGCCTTGGGTCTCTTGTCTCTTGGCTCATTGCACTCGATTGACCTCTTGTCCCCATTCCTCTGCTCATCCTCACGGGTTTCCTCACTACCCACCTACCTGCTATAATTCCATTCAGAAATTAGAGACCTAGACCAAACTATGCCAGTCTAAAGGTCCTAGGCAATAATCATAACAATCAATCACTCAGCAGGCGGTCAAACACAAGCAACACGAGGTCTCAATCAAGGAGATATGTGTACTTACCTCAGGTCTTGCCGCACCTGCACTTTACGGGTCAATTCAAATAATCACTCAATCATGAATTCAAACAGTCTGGAGGTACACGTAGCACACAAATCTCCCTATTTAGCTACCCAAGGTCATCGCTCCTTATCACTCCAGACTTCGATCGAGTTGGATCGAGCTGACCTTCCTCTGATACCAAATCAACGGGGGATGTCATGCCCCGAACCATAACGACACGCAACAACCCCTTCATCGGTCGTATTGGTGCGACGTCCCAGGACGCATCGCCGACCCAAAACCCAAATCAGAGAATAATACACATGCGGAAACGATCAAACACCCGTACATAATAAAACATGACCAAGGATAGCAACAACATCACAAATACATACTTGCATTAATAAAGAGAATTTACAATATCCATTACAACAAAAATGTACATAAACCAAAACGGGTCAGCAAGCCACTAACATCAAAAAGGGATACGTGGCTCGGGCGATCAGGCACTATCTAAGAAGGGCTCCTATCAAAAAGTGTCGGTCCTACCTAACTATGGTCAAGGATAAACCCTAGGGTAACCAGTCCGAGTCGGATCCCGAAGACTCGGATGAGTCATCAGACGACTCGGACTAGGAGTCCATAGACTCGGGCTCGGACTCAACCTTCACTGGCTCCTCCTTAGGGTCATCCTCCGGCTCTGACTCCAGCTCCATCGGCTCCGGCTCGGGATCGAACTCCCATTCCATCAGTTCCTCCTCCTCGGGGTCGGAATCCATCTCGAAGATGACGGGTCGGGGGTCAGAATCCTCCTCGGACACGGCTTTAGGGTTGGTCATCTCCCCATCAGCTGACTGCAGATCCCAATGACCTAACCCGTCTATCGGAACATCAAAAGTCCTAAGAGGCCCATAAATGCCGAACTGGTCCCGAAAATACCAACCAAGGTACTGATGAGCCTGGAACTGTGGCTCACCCACGTCGACCCAAACGGTGGTAAAATGCCTAACATAAGTCTCCCCGTTCCCAACGGGATACTCGATCACCAAACGCTCTATGCAATATGGGATCCCAAAACATATCGGTACGCCTGCCATCCTCAAGGTCGGGGGTCTGATAAGTGGGGTTTTCACAATAATGAGATTAAATCTCAGCGAGTGGGCCCCCTAAACCTAAACTAGGCTAACATGCACCTCCGGACAAGCATCAAACCAAGCATACAGTCCAACATTCAAACGACTTAGGCCATCGGGCCCAAATCAAACATATTATTGACCCTGCAGGTTAGGCACGTAATAACAACGATAATAACGCAGAACCCAATCATGGCACATACACGAAATCAATTGGCCATGAACACATGCCATGCACATGCTTGCACTCGTTAATGCACTCTTGTACACGTGCCAATTTCTCAATTAACTTCCGACCAGTGTAAAACGTATCAGGTCCGACCGGCGTAAAACGCATCAGGTCTATCACTTCTCAACCAATCTCCGGCCCGCGTTAAATGCATCAAGCCCATGACACAACCCGCGTGAACGACGCCTCAAGTTGGCCATCTTCCGGTAATCCGGGCATCGTCCCGTGTTAAACGCCTCTGGACGGGTTTAACACCCCCGCGTAAATGACGCCTTAGGGTTTATGGGATCACACGTACACAATTCACCAATTATTATCTAAACCCCGCGTAAAACGTATCAGGGCAATTTAGGTCATCACATGCTCAATGCCATCCGTGCAAACTCACATGATTCACACAACATGCCGACACTCATTATGCACAACTCATGGCCATAACATTCGAAACTCAGGCATTCATAATATCCACATTGAGCACTCAATTTAATAAAACCACATGCTCAATTAACACCACAACATGTTCAATTCAACATATCAACATGCCTAATTAACCAATTAAATCAAATCAGCCACGGTGCATAATTGGCGTACGAAAATCACACAATTAAGCCATTAAAATTGCATAAGTTTATGGCCCACAATGCTTCTCATTTCTCAGCCACATTAGCACTCAATGTGGCATCACATAATTAATCACCAACCATGTACAAGTCAGCCACTACCCGGTCCAATCCTTATACCCCTAACAATCAACATTTCAATCATGATTAATCAAATATGGCCCAAATCAAACCTACACCAACCAGTCATGAACAGCCCACTAAAGGCCTCTAAATCGGCTCCAAATCAGCACATTAGTCCACCTTAATCACTTCATTACCAAGCCTAATCACCAGCCAACAATTAACCCCTAAAACACCCTAATTAACCCCTAAACTCATTTAGAAATGCACATAATCCTAATTAGGGTTTAGGGTTTCCACTCACAATGTCCTTAGCTCCAAAGGTAGGCTGATCGAGAGGAAAAACGGGCTGGGCGATCAACGGCTCACGGCGGAACCAGCGGCGGCGCCGGCGGCTCTCATGGCGGCGAACGGCGGGCTGGTGGTGACGGCTGATCACGGCTGCAGGGGAGGATGCTGATGATGGTGGTGAGCCGGAAATGAGAGAAAGGGGAAGGTGAGGGTGGTGGTGGTGGTGAGCGTGAGGCGGGCGGCCGGCGGTCCTCGGACGGCGGTGCACGGCCAAGGCGGGGGCTGGCCCGTGGTGGTGGTGGTGACGAAGATGGGAAGAGAGAGAGAGACAGACAAGGAGTGATGGTGGTGGTGATGGGCTAGTCGCGTGGACGGCGGCGGCACGTGGTCGCGGCAGTGGTGCTCTGGCGGGGCTAGCTTCACACGGCCAAGGAAGGAGAAAGGGAGAGAAAAATGGAGAGAATGAGAGGGAGAGAGTGGCCGGAAATGGGGAAATGAGGGGAGAGAGAGAGAATGAGGGAGTTTTGATCAAAAGGCTTAAGTGGTGTGGTTGACCAACTCCATCCACAATGTCCAAGCTACCCTCCCCACTAACTAACCAATCCAATGGCCGCAATTTAAACACCCATCAAATCTATCCACAATCAATGGCCATGATCTCATCTTACACAAAATATCTAAGGGCAAATTGGGGAATGAGCAAGGGTGATGGGGGCCTTATTGTCCAACATTTTCGGCACTAATAGGGCTGATTAAGTCCAATATACCCTCCAATAATTCAGAATTAATGCTTAGGGTCCAAGGGCAAAACGGTAATTTTCCACTCCCGGTCCAAAATTTCAATTTTCGACCATATTGATCCCAAATATGATTGGCCACACTAATACGACGTCGTCCTTGCAAAATGGTCGCGTACGTCCGTGAAATTCGACACTCAAGTCCGGATTCAATTCAACGATCAATTTCGCTCAAATGCAATTTTAGCGTCTCTTACTAACGGGTAACTTTTTAGAGGTTACGCGTATCGACTTATGATTACTCGAGTCGCGACGGTCTCGATTTCCAAGAGAACGCAAGGATTTATCGCTAGTTCCGGAAGTCGCGATTGTTCGAAGTAAGTTTAGGATCGTTCGCCACGCGTACCCTCGGTCGTGCGGAATCACCCGCGATCCGATCATACGTCGTTGGCAAACCAAATCCGTCACCCTCCTTGGATCGGCCACATTGACCCAAAATATTCCCTCGTCGTTCCTCGAAATCGGAGCTCGATTCACGGTCGAGTTCTTGGGTCCATGTACCGTTTTCCTAGTTAACCATTTCCTATGGGTCAGTATCCCAAGAATGATCAGCTCCGGGCGAGACTTACTAAAACAAAATGAGTAATACATATCCCTTTCATTGATCACGAAAGTGGGTCGAATTCAGGATGTTACACTTATTGCCCACTAAGAGTCATACGACAATTCGAAATGGTTCAACAAATTCCACCTATTTGGCATCCTGAGGAGTTCACATTTGAGATACCGCAAGGACCTCTACCGGAAAAGAAGAATAAAGAGCTGCGAATAAGGGTCGATGGGACCGTGAATTCCTTGAAGAGATCAACCAAGCAAATAGTACAATGGTCTGAAGATTTGGAAGGAGAAATGAAGCTCTTTTTGGCGTTCAACGAGTATATAAGGTGGTTGAAGGCTAAGCGACCAATTGATGTCGAACCCTATGTACCTTTGAGTGTTACTACTCATTCTGATGAGCCGTACATCCCAGAGTATATTGTGCCAAGCACGCCAGGTGTAGAGCCGTATGTTCCCGAGGAGGTTGTAATCAATGTGGAAGAATGGGAGACACGAGTCAAGGAATATGAAGAAGCTGAAGCTACCTTAGCTAGCAAGGAGCCTAGACTTCTTTAAGCTAGTGTTCCCCTATTTTGATAAATAACATTGTAATAAAAATTTTCAAAATTGAAACAATTACTTAATGAAGTTTCAAAATATTCTTTGTAAAGAATCACCATGGATTACAATTCTTTAAATTGTATGATTCATTGAGAAAGACATTGATGAAGAATTTTATACAAAGCTAAGGCTTGTATGAAAATTCTTACCCTTAACAATCTCATGTAACCATACAATTAAAAGAATGTAGAGTTTCATGATCATTTTACTATGCTAATATCGAGTCTTTTTTGGCAAAACAGGTTGTTTAGCAACATAAGGTAAAAGACCTTGAACTTGCCTACAAGTTAGAATGGCGGAAGAAGAAACCCGTGCTCGACTAGCTGAAGTCGAGAATCAAATAACCCAAATGGTTGCAATGATGGCAGAAATGAAGGCTTTTATTCTCACATCTCAAGGACCTTATCTTACTACTCCAAATGTAGGAGCTTCAAACGCTACCGAAACACCGATTGAAGACCTAGTCAGAAACAAAGAACCGGTTCAAGAAAATCCTCCAAAGACTACGCCTGAGGTGGTAAATTTGGAAGAGGATGATCAAA